CAAGCGTTTAATTTGATTGGTCAGTTATACCATGTGCATCTAATGAGTTGTAGCTTAACCAATGCAAATGTTATTCAGCGAACTTATGCAAGATCGTATTATTATTCAGTGCAAACGAAATAAAGTAGTAGAAAAATCCATGTAGGGAAGAATTTTTTTCATCCGATTTTAAAATACAAATAAACATTTCTATGCCAGTTATTGTCTCCATCTTTGCATTAAGGTAAAACACTTGTTCTATCGTAACAGTACAATAAAGTTATGCATTGTAATCGGTCACTCAGAAATGTACCACACATAAGAATTCAACGTGAACTTGGGGACATCCAAATTTCTGTTGATGGTCACAGTCAGTTGTGTCCAATGATTACTATCGTTGTGAACAGCTAGTGAAGACCATTCGATTTCTTTTGGCATGAGTCTTCATGTTAGGGAGTTGTTTCTGGACGTTGGTTTCTCCCAATGAACTTGATCCATCTACTTGGCTAGAGTTACTCCCCTAAAAAGTAACTGTGTGTCTGATATTTTTGAAATGACCATTGATTTGCTGAAATCAGTAGCCATTACATCACCAGTTAATGATTTAGTTGATTGTATGAAGCCAGAATAACGGGATTTAAAGAGTATTGAAGGGATAAAATACCCCTAAATAATTCGTTATTATAATGAAATTTGAATTATAAGTAAAATAAGAACGTAAAGACTGTGAAGTAAACAACAAAGAATTATGATGGTAAGACGGTAGTTACTTTAATTTGGACAGCGTTCCATATAGAAGGGGTACACAACGCAAAAGTCTGAGATCTCTTTTGCGTAGTTGTCGGTTAATGGGAAGTCTTATTGGGATCTTTTTTGGCCCCTTATGATGGTTTTCTAGTAGAGTTATTTTGTTGAGGTGCTTTGGACTAAATGGTCGATTTTTGTACGTTGTCAGGCTGATTACTTTTCATTTAAAGCTGAGTGGGAGCTACTGTGATATTCTAGCTGGTCACTATAAGTTTTATGCTTTGATACTTATTTTTGTACATCCTCTAGAAGATTCATATTTTTCTGCGAGGAAGTTCAAGAAGATTGAGATTTTTGAAGTAAGGTCAGATTTACTGCTTAACAATGATACACATAAACAAAGATGGGTAGTGGCTAGCATTGGAATCCAGGACGCACCTTTCGTCCTTTTTGCAATATCGAAGCAATACGCACAGTATGAACATATGCCAATAACAGACTGATCAATTTCAGTCCTAAATATCAATTGGAAGATTCAAGTAAAGCAATTTCACGTTAAATAAACGATACACATTGTTTGGAATTGAGAATAAGATGCTGTCTACTGAGAAAATGAAGTGCAAAAAAATAACTAGGGTTTATGTTTATTCGGCGCTAGCTTTCTATTCCTCAGTTAGTAGTAATCCCAAGTCAAGATCTATTGATATACTAGAGACCTAATGATTGCGAATGACTTAAGTTGTTTGTCTTGATATGTACATGGTGTAGTTTCCTATGAAGTCTTACTCATTCCTAAGAAAGAGAACTGTAGGCTTCTTTCTATCTCCTGGACCTTCAATAGCAGGCTAGACCTGTTTTCACAGCGTCACTGTAACAATGAGGGGCATCAAATTCATAACATGCCTGGAGTACTCTTTCTAGATTTTATCAGTTCTTAAATTATTCCTACTGACAGAAGGTAACTTAAGTACCCCATAGATAGTCATGCTTATGAACCTTTCCATATTTGCAGGTTGTTTTGTAGCATCCCTTCTCACACAGCATGGCCTTCCAGGCTTAAATCTTGATGTCTACAAGCTGTATAACTGTATACTGAAGAAATCTTAGTCGCCTATAGGTAATGTTAGTGAAGGGGCTTACCTTGTGCCACGTCATTATACCTCACTTTCTGTTCAGATAAGTTATTCCTGTCAATAGTCGCCTCCCCATCCCTTGACTGCCTTCGGAATATTTTACCCGTACTGTTTTGACACTAGCAATGTTTGACTTTGTCATATTTGGGACATATTCGGTACAAGTGTTCGGCAAGTAACAATACTCTTCTCATATGTGTTTATCAAACCCTTCTCTGATTTCAAGTACGTTTCCACCTAACATGGAATGATTATTAAGGATCAACTGCGAGCTAGGATTATGGTGCTTTCTATAATGTTTCTATAGTGTTCTTTTCTCTCTTTGGGTTATTCCAGCTACTATTTTCACTTATACTCATCTACCATTACTAAAGAACAGGACGGAAAACCCTTCCACACGTTAAAAGGCCAATATTATTGTCATTATTGTGAAGGACGATTTTACATCTGACAACGTACCCAATAAGTGTGACGTAGCTAGAGTACTGCAGAAGCACAGTACTCGTCAAGTTATCGAACCGTATCGAATTATCAAGAATACATTAGTAAAGGGAATAGACTAATATCAGGAAATTCTTCTTTACAGAAGCAAGAATGCTATGGAAATCAATTACTTTATGCTAGCTAGTTATAAATAGATGTGAAGTCACCTCAAATAAGCTCGGTATTAATTGACTTACATGGGCCAAATGAGGAAGGACTGACTGCAAAGAGGTCTGTCCGAAATATCAGCCTAAGAAATGAAGTTTCGTGTGGCCCCCATTCTTTAAATGACGGCCAGCAGGAAAGGACTAAAAAACCTAATTATGAGGCTAGGTCTGTTTTTGGCGGGAAAAACTTTGTCCGTAAGGACTTTCCTCTCCCAGACGGTGTAACTAGACGAGAAGCCGAGAAAGAACTAAAAATTAGGTTAGATGCTGTTCAAATGGACCTTAGGTCTTTTTCAGGTTGTGAGGCTTCGACAGAGAATAATGCTGAAGCCACTATAAGTGCAGCACAGTCATTTAAATAGGCTTCGGATCAGTTACAGAAATGCCCGAAGCTTGCTCAATAAACAGTTGGAACTAGGTGTACAGGTTGACTCTACCGAACCAGATAAAATCACAATCACAGAAACTTGACTGACGCAGCCTGAAGATAGTGTGGAACTTGATTTTGAAGGTTTTACGTTGGTATGAGGCGACAGAATCCAGAAGCGTAAAGGAGGGGGTAGCTGCATTCATTGGTAACACTATGCCATTTGCCATGACAGTGGGACGTGTGAATTAGTTAGTTTCCGCTTGAAGTGCAAAGGATAAAGACTGCTGATTGGTTTGATCTATTGCAGTCCAAACCGTGAGGCGGACAAGGTCTTTCTAGACGGTTTCAACACTTGGTCATCAACTGGTGGATATTTAATCTTAGAAGGATTTAATGCAACCACAGTAGACTGAGATAATCTGAGGACCGAATCGTCGGAAAACTCCTTCGAATAGGAGCTGGTTTGCGCGGTTATCACATGTGCTCTTGTGTAACATGTGATTGAAGAGACTATGTACGACCCAGACTGTAAGTCATCCTTACTAGATCTCATACTGAACCATCGTGAGGATGACGTCACAAACCTACATTATATGCCAGCCCCAGGCAAAAGGGACCGTATACCTCTAATCTTTGATTTTCATATGGTTGTCATAAACGAGCACATGTCAGCCCAGCCCAGATCTAACGTCTGAAAACCAAATGTAAAAGATATTATACACTCTGAATCCTCAGTAAATTGGACAATAGAGCCAAAGTCCCTAATTGAAAGAGCTTGGGCTGTATTTAGAACTTTGTACTTAAAGGTCACTGCACTCCTAATCCCTCGGACTAAACCAAAGGGTCCGAGAAACTCCCCACCATGATTCAGTAGGGTCTTGTTTTCAAAATAGGTACGAGACATAAACATGAGAACTGCCGACCCCCGAGCCTAACCAGAGTGGTTTTTAAAATTTTAGAGATTATTCGGAAGTTATCTATAAACGTAGGCTACATAGACTTCAGCATAGCTTTTCACATAGCTCCTCACAACCGGCTGCTATGTAAGCTAGGAAATATCGGGGTTGGAGGCAATCTCTTGATGTGGATAAAAGACTTCCTAGTTGGTCACCAACATAGAGTACGTGTGAACTCCAAGTTGTATAGTTGGGAAGCTGTGCTTGGCGGAGTGCCTCAGGGTACAGTTTGGGGGCCAGTGTTATTCCTATTATATGCAAATGACCTTTCTCATCATTGGTTTTGCTATATGCTGACGATGTCAAGATATGGAGAGCCACAAGAAGTATAGCTAATAGCTTAGAACTTCGAAATGACCTGGAGAAATTATCTGAATGGTCTCAAACCTGGCGGTTGCTGACAAATACTTTCAAGTGTATTGAGATGCATACTAGTGATCAAGGTACAGATACATACACGGGAAATAACATTCAGCTGTTTGTTGTCCAAACACACTATGACTTAGAAGTCGTCGTTAGCCAAGACCTAAACACTATTGCACACTGCCGTGCAATAGCCGCCAAAGGTCTTGGAACCCTATGATCAATACTTAGGGCCTTTATTCATGTTGACGTTAATGCTTTGTTGACATTGTATATGGTGTTCGAGCTCCTAAGCTCGAGTACTGCGCACAAACGGCTGGCTCCTGCTTAAAAAGGACAGTGAACTTTTGAAGAAGGTTCAGAGAACCTCAATTAAGCTGATTCCGGAATAACAATGCCCCCATATGATAACAGCTTGGCTAAATTAAACCTATTCCTAATGACACATCAAAGAACCAGAGAGAACTTGATCACAGCTTTCGAATTACTTAGTGATAAATTTGCATCTGGTAAGCCCTCATTTTTCTCGTCTTCAAAACAGAGAGTTTACGAGGACACTTTTAATGAGTTCACAAGCTCAGGACAAGCTACTTGTCAGCTGACTATCGGTTTTCTCACCGAATCATCAACGAGTGAAATTCATTAACTCAGCACGTGGTTAAGACTCCACCCATCTACTCTTTCAAAAGAAAATTGAATCAACTGAAAGACCACCATTGTCAAGATTAACACAAGCCATCTAGCCACTTATCCTTTTCAAATTGTAACTAAAATAGTGGATGTTGAAAGTTTAAGTAATACTGTAATGGCAACATTACGACATGTCCGGTACCTATATCATTATTTATTCCTCCTCACGTTTCATTCCAAAGTTTAGAAAAGTTAGGCAGGCCAATATTTGTCAACGGCTCAGTTTCTTGTATTCTAAGTCATCTCATATATTTTTATTGTCTTTATACTAAGAAATATGACAATTTAGCATTACCATCTCACTGAATTCTTATCTGAAATTGGTCATTCTGGAGATATTTAAACTCACACTTTTTCGGTTTTCAGACTCTTTTTAACGGATTTGAAAACGAGAAGTACAGGTTATCTGGAAAATTCACAGACCTGGGTAAAATTGGGATTGTGCTGCATTTACCCAAAAGGTTTTGGTTGAGCTGTACTACAATTTTGTCACAATAAGTCGGCTCCGTCTCAAAATTGTAGGCTTTGAGTTCCCAAGAAAAACATTAGATAATTACTTTGTTGATGTAATAATTATTTTCTACTGTTCCCAAAAGTCCTAAGCCATTACTAGCCGTAATAATAATGCTGAGATTTCGTTGTTTTGTTATTCTACCTTTTTAAGTTGTTTCAAGTTATCTCTTTAAATGAAGAATGGTAATGTAGGGCAACCTGGTACAGCAAGTTGAAAAGAATTTTTCTCTGAATGGCTTAAAGAACTGACAAATAGCATAGCACGTACTCTTGAGGCAATCAGGAATGTACGTAGTAACTAACTTCTCAAGTTGACCCCAAAGTCTGCAAACCTGACATAATATCTCATATCTAGTTGAAAAATCACCACTACTTTTGGTAGCGGCCTTGTACTGAAGTTCTAAGCTCACTTTTGTTAATATCATTAATATTGTAATTTAATGATTGACTCATGACGTATGGTATCATGAATCCAATGCATCGAACAAAAATAAATAAAATGCAACTATATATCAGTAAAGCTGTATTAATTAAGAATATACGAAGTAAAATTCACCTGATGATAGAACCTAGATTGACAATTATTTCAAAAATACTTGATATAATAAACTAACCAGAACATTAGTCCAAACTCTAAATCAAGTCTGATGACACTAAATTTCAGTAAGATACAGGTATTCCATGATTCGCATCTGGACAGAGGTTCATGCTTCAAGGTAACGTCACTGATTGTGCAATGACATCCAGTACTCTCAGGTACTTTCCTAAAATTCTGCCCTGTCATCCTCTTTGCTGTCGGATTTAATTGCTCTATGGTTGTGAAAAAATGGCCTCTGAATTGGAAGACACTAAATTTCCGATCATACATGTCTTCTAATAATTGCTAACGTGTTGTGCGACAATCAACTGAGTAGTGGTGAGATCAATCGTTGGGATCTAGGAAACTGGTAAAGTTGATAGCTCTGTGAATCTTTGTGGAGTAAGGTGTCTGGGACATGTGTTATGTATGCTCAACCGCCGGTTACCTTTAAGTGGAAAATCGACAGGGGTGGTCAAACCAAGACATAGTATCAATCCATAAAGCTAATGACTGTTGAATTGAGGCATGATGGTAGGTGTAGAGCCTGCTGACTGTACAGAGGTACGACGGCAGTAAGGTGTCTCCTTCAGCATAACAGTGATTCAACCTTCCCACAAGGGAAGGCTAGGGTCGATCCCAAAAATACACACCTCATCTTATCTCATGGATTTCCGTCTCTGGTGGTAAGGTTACAACAGGTGTGAAGCTAGCACGTGAAGTACTCACAAAAAGGCCGTATGTAACCGACCTCAAGCAGTTGTCCCTTGGACGCTACAGTCACACTCTCAAATCACTAAGACCAACTCTAACCCAATTTTCTTTTCAGGTACCTCCAGAAGAACCCTTCCACGGTGTGGGAAATCGGGAAGTGATAACTGCCCTCATACCTCTAACAACACTCAAAACCACTGTATTCATAATCAACCTCCCTCTTCAATTCCTATTATTCCTCCTACATCGACTTTCAAACCTAAACTTCCTCCTTTGGAACCGTTAACGGGGATCCATTCTAATAGCGCTTGTTCCGCCCTCATGCTGAGTGCTATGCCTACACTTGACAGCTAGTTCTCGTGGACTGGCAGGTGTAGGCATAGCACTAAGCATGAGGGCGGAACAAGCGCTATTAGAATGGATCCCCGTTAACGGTTCCAAAGGAGGAAGTTTAGGTTTGAAAGTCGATGTAGGAGGAATAATAGGAATTGAAGAGGGAGGTTGATTATGAATACAGTGGTTTTGAGTGTTGTTAGAGGTATGAGGACAGTTATCACTTCCCGGTTGCCCACACCGTGGAAGGGTTCTTCTGGAGGTACCTGAAAAGAAAATTGGGTTAGAGTTGGTCTTAGTGATTTGAGAGTGTGACTGTAGCGTCCAAGGGACAACTGCTTGAGGTCGGTTACATACGGCCTTTTTGTGAGTACTTCACGTGCTAGCTTCACACCTGTTGTAACCTTACCGCCAGAGACGGAAATCCATGAGATAAGATGAGGTGTGTATTTTTGGGATCGACCTTTTCTAACCCCTAGCCTTCCCTTGTGGGAAGGTTGAATCACTGTTATGCTGAAGAAGACACCTTACTGCCGTCGTACCTCTGTACAGTCAGCAGGCTCTACACCTACCATCATGCCTCAATTCAACAGTCATTAGCTTTATGGATTGATACTATGTCTTGGTTTGACCACCCCTGTCGATTTTCCACTTAAAGGTAACCGGCGGTTGAGCATACATAACACATGTCCCAGACACCTTACTCCACAAAGATTCACAGAGCTATCAACTTTACCAGTTTCCTAGATCCCAACAATTGATCTCACCACTACTCAGTTGATTGTCGCACAACACGTCAGCAATTATTAGAAGACATGTATGATCGGAAATTTAGTGTCTTCCAATTCAGAGGCCATTTTTTCACAACCATAGAGCAATTAAATCCGACAGCAAAGAGGATGACAGGGCAGAATTTTAGGAAAGTACCTGAGAGTACTGGATGTCATTGCACAATCAGTGACGTTACCTTGAAGCATGAACCTCTGTCCAGATGCGAATCATGGAATACCTGTATCTTACTGAAATTCAGTGTCATTAGACTTGATTTAGAGTTTGGACTAATGTTCTGGTTAGTTTGTTATATCAAGTATTTTTGAAATAATTGTCAATCTAGGTTCTATCATCAGGTGAATTTTACTTCGTATATTCTTAATTAATACAGCTTTACTGATATATAGTTGCATTTTATTTATTTTTGTTCGATGCATTGGATTCATGATATCATACGTCATGAGTCAATCATTAAATTACAATATTAATGATATTAACAAAAGTGAGCTTAGAACTTCAGTACAAGGCCGCTACCAAAAGTAGTGGTGATTTTTCAACTAGATATGAGATATTATGTCAGGTTTGCAGACTATGGGGTCAACTTGAGAAGTTAGTTACTACGTACATTCCTGATTATCTCAAGAGTACGTGCTATGCCATTTGTCAGTTCTTTAAGCCATTCAGAGAAAAATTCTTTTCAACTTGCTGTACCAGGTTGCCCTACATTACCATTCTTCATTTAAAGAGATAACTTGAAACAACTTAAAAAGGTAGAATAACAAAACAACGAAATCTCAGCATTATTATTACGGCTCATTCTGGAGTACCTGCTTGGACTCCGAGCATGCCCTAATACGAGCATGCATTCGCTTGCATCTACGTGGGCTCAGAAAAGCCACATTAAGAAAACCCATTAGAGTTGGATTCAGTGACGAGAAAACCAAAAGTAGATTTAAGGGACAACTGAGGTCACACCTAGGTAGTTCTGAAAACGAGGTTGACCCAGATGTTGCTTAGAAAGATATACGAACAGTCGTAAAAACAGCAGTGACATCTATTAGTGATTTAAACCAAAAGGTTACGAAGAACTAGTGGATTTCTGCTGCGTCTATTACACTGATAGACTCGTAAACTCATCCCACCGGGCTCCGACTACGATGAAGAACGAAAAGAAATCAGATCTAGGTTAACCAAAAGTCCGTCAGCAGTGGTGGCTAACGAAAGCAAAAGAGATGGAAAAGACAGCCATTATATGTAACACTAGACAGCTCTTCAGAATACTAAAAGAAACCGGAATTAAGAAGTTAATTGTGAGACGATCTCGGAACAAGACGACGTTCTTATCTGCTCCCAGTTCAGACGTTTAGAACGATGGCCGGAACACTTTAAGGAGCAGTTCAGTTGGCCTTCAGCTACTTTACAACTACCCACCATTCCCAGAGAGTGTGAATGGAACATTGAAGTAGGTCCTCCAACTCTAGCCGAAGTTCAAAGGTCTATAGTTAATCTAAAATGAGGAAGGGCAGCTGGTCCAGATGAATTGGCTCCAGAGGTCTTTAAGGAAGTTTATCGAATTTTCGCGACTAGGTTGACTAATATTTTAGCTAAAATCTGGGAGTTGGACATAATCCCCTCTGACTGGTCACAATCACTTATCGTCCCAATATATAAGAAAGGGTCAAAATCATCCTGTGACAACCATAGAAGGATTAGTTTAACTAATATAGTATCGAACGCCTAACTAAGACTCGTGAACTGCAAACACGAGAAAATCAGGCTGGCTTCAGACCTGGTCGTGGCTGCATCAACCACATATTCACCATTCGTCAGGTTCTTGAACACAGGCATACTTATCGGCGTCCGACAATGGTGGTCTTTCTTAACTTAAAATTAGCATTTGACTCTGTAGACCGAGAGGTTCTGTGGCAGTGTCTGTCATTGAAAGGCGCACCTCAGAAGTACATAAACCTTGTGAAGGCTCTTTACTCGAACATTACTAGTCGAGTCAAAGCCTATGGCGACTTGTCATTTGAATTCGGTGGTACACAGATGGTCATCTATATTGCATTGCTACTCATTTTTCTCGCAACCAAAAAGTTTCCAAAGCGCTACTTATATTCTGGTGTTTATAAGGGATTTATTTTAATGTGACTATGGAGTGTAAAACTTTAACAAATATCTCAATAGGGCTGGTAAAAGTGAGTTTTAGACATTACTGAGTCATCCACAAAAATAGTAAGGTATTACTAGAATCACGTAAAAGCTTACCAAGTGTTGGGAACATGGACTTGTACTTTACTAGCTGTTTATACTAAAGATGTCCACAATAATTGACAACAGTATATATTACAATCCATCAAGGTGCACTGACTGATAAGACTCCAAGTTACTACGTTTTTAACCACTGTATACTTCATTGTGATGTTTTTTTATATTCTTAACTATTTCTTACCAAATACTAAATTTGTAAATTAAGGTTTTGACTTTATAAAACTCTAGGTCTCAGGTCTCTATGGAACGAAAGTAAGGAATGAGATGTTCCGTCTAATACGTTGTCCTCTGACTACTAAACGAATGTCATTTCTCAGTAAATTTTTCGTTTAAATGTCTCACATCTCTTAGATAGTTTTATTTCATTTGCAATGGGACGTCCACTTACTACGAATACAATAGATTTAACTCCATTTCCTGAGTTGTATACTGAAGAGAACATCATTTTACATAAAATTTTCAAAAAGTATGGATTTGATCTACGTATCGCCGGGGGTGCAGTACGTGATATTTTACTTGGAATTTCTCCACATGACATTGATTTTGCAACAAATGCTACTCCACCTGAGATGTGTGAAATGTTTTCCAAGGAAGGGATTCGAATGCTGAATAGAAATGGGGAATCACATGGAACTGTTACAGCCAGAATTAATGATAAGGTATAGTTATATTTACATGAGCTGTTTATTTAACGTATTTTTACTTGTTTTACCTATAAATAGGTTTAGTATGACTCGACATATTTTGTAGGTACAAAAGTTCTCCATTAACATTTTGTTTTGTAACTAGGTGATACAACTTTAGTTTTTCATTTTCTGCCTGGACATCATTATCTCTCATACCTATCACCATATATGTTTATTACTAAGTAACCAGAAGTTTCGGCTTATTGGTTAAAGGATTTGACTCCCACCATTTAAGATATATATTAGGACCTTGATCCGTCTACTTCGGTTTAGGCACCCGAGTTGTTTAACGAGTCTTCATACGAAGCGCATGTGATTCAAAGCCTAGTATATGAGCTACATCAGATTGAAATTTGATTAAAGAAACATTTGGATGGTTCCCCACTCCTCTGTAAAGTAGTGGATCTGGGATCGCAATAATATTTATAAATACTATTGGTGGTAGTTATGAATGTCACTTCCTGGCGAATTCGAATGGCCCATAGATAAGTTTAATAGAAGTTTGATATTAAAATGGTTATCATTCTTGCTTTCATCACTGATGTCACCAGTCAGCTTATCCTAAATTACTAAAGGCTAAATCCATGGTAACCACATTTACGAAATGTAGGTTTCCTGATACAAACAGAGCAGCGCATTTCAACACATTTAAAAATACGGAATTTCTTGGACGACTAGCGAATAAAACCGTCATAGTTGCCGTCAACTACACTTCATTTTTATTGATTTAACCACAGCCTAAATAAGTTATCTTTGGATGCTAAACCAGGCACCTGTATGTAGTTACTGAGTTGCATTGAAAAATATTTTTGGGTATATAAATAAGGTAAAGTACCTTTATATTGGTTTTGGTCGTTAATAGTTCCAGGTTATGAGACGTAGTACACATTTTTTGGTTAAGTTAAATCAAGTGCATTATCTGGCCTATTTTTTGAAAGTCGTGGGTCCGTAACAAACTCAAATCGTATAAAAGTTTACTAAGAAGGTTTCAAGTCTAGAAGTGGTTTTACCAGTTAGATATTTGATGGTCAAATGCCTATCTGTTCATGTTTCTCAACTTTGTTAAATATTAACTATCATTCTAGCTACAATACGCCCCTATCATAAATACGTACAGCTCTAAATTTATTTGAGTTGTCATAGGTTAATAAATTTATACAACAATGCCACTAAATTCTCATTTTAGCAGCACTTTGTTTATAAAGATTGATATTCGGTTGGTATGTAATGTAACTGAATAAAAAGTATGTTGCAATGAACTTTGTTTAATATTCTGTTTTCAAAATTAATTATCAGAGAATTCTCAAATGAAGCTTAACTTTACATACACTACGATATTTTTGTAATTCCCAGACTAAATTAAACATTCTTGCTGTCATAACTAATAATTCTTTAAACTAATTGCTTTTCATTTGTATTTACGGTGTGCCACCCTTGTAAGTCACACTGTATTTTGACGCTATATAGTAGGATACGGAGCTTTTTTTTACACCAATGCATTGAATATGGATTTTTAGTCAGTTAACTGGTAGTAACCAACATTAGGACCTGACATAAATGCCCATCCACCCAAGTTACCACACCATATCACAAGGAGATGAAATCGCTGAGGAATTGGAATGATTATGAAAAAGACTAGACAGAGAATACAGTATACATTAACTCCATACATTTCGGTTGAAGTAATATTGTCAACAAAATTCATGAAACGGATAAATATTCTAGCTGAGCATATGAACCTATATCTATTTCTACAAATTTAGATGAAATTAACTTAAAATAAATGTTTTCTTTTTTCAGGAAAATTTTGAAGTTACCACTTTACGTATTGACGTTGTCACAGATGGAAGGCATAGTGAAGTTGTCTTTACAAATGACTGGAAGTTAGATGCTGAGAGAAGAGATCTTACAGTGAATTCAATGTTTCTAGGTATTGATATGCAGGGGTTATTTGATGAGGTTAATGAAGCAACAACAGATTCTTCCGCAAATGAAAATAATACAAGTAATAAACAAAAAGTGTTAGGACATTTATGGGATTATTTTAACGGTTGTGATGACTTGAAAAATCATCGCATACGATTTGTAGGGGATGCAGATACTAGGATAAAAGAGGATTACTTAAGAATACTAAGATATTTTCGATTTCATGGTCGTCTGTCAACAGAAGACACATATGATAGGCATGATGAAGATGTGTTGAAGGTACGGACCACTTTTTCGAATGAATATTTGTAACATTTCAGTTTTTTAGTGGCATCGTTTAACAACTTTGCGTTTTCTTTCTGGTAGGGATTATTCATTTCATTTTTAAATATGAGTTTAATAACTTCGGTAACATACTTATATTCCCTTAGTATATGTACTGTTTATGAATTATCAAAGTATTTTTGCTTGGGAAAGTTCAGTTATACTGAAAACTATAAAGTATGTTATCTGTCATCTGGGTTTTGTCAGAGTATCAAAATATCAGATATGGAACGGCTTTATTAATATTTGGTTTTTAATAAGTCACTAAATTAGGGTTAATACATGTTTTGAATTAACGGTAGAGTATTCATTCTCTGCGTCTACCGTAATTTCTATAGTTGCCATCTCATTCTCATTAGAAATTAAAAAGATTAAATCAGAGAATTTTTCATACGTCTAGTTCTTTTTGTAATTTTGAACGAAGCAATAACAATAAACGGCTTGTACAACAAGAATAATTCATTCTATTTCAACGTTCTCCACTAGTTGTGACCAGAATGAACTTACAGATAACAGGATTAACAACAAAATTTGAGAAATTTCAGTTGGAGCTGTGACAAAGGTACGCGATACAAACTCCGAAAAATAGATGGATGAGAGTATTCTTAATACCACTCATATTGGAGTTTCAGAAATGTTTAATTTAAAATTTTTGTTCTCTAAATGATTATTCAGCTGTTGAGTGAAAAATGTGGGGCAATATTAAATGTACAATTTTAAGGTCAAGCTTTTCTAACCATTTGTTTTAGAGTATGAATATTAAATATCCCAAGCAATTTAGAAATGTACGGCGCACCCCTTTACTTAGAAACTAGCAGTAGTAGTAATAGTCTAACATTGAAGACGTCTTATTGAAAAAATAGAAACTCTACATATAATACTCAGATGAATTCAACTGCGTCGAAGGTGCTAGAAGTTGCGAAATAATCTGTTAGTCCCATTCACTTCAAGATGGATAATAAGCAGGAACTGAGCGTTCACAAAGACATCAATATCTAGCATTTAACCAACAACTTGTTGAACGCATCATACGACTTTAATACAGGGAATAATACATTTGGATCGCTAGTGGTGACTATTATGCTACCAGTAATACAAGTCCCTGAGTTTTTTGGAACAACAATTAATATATGAATTATTATTAGCATCTCCAAAATAACTCTTAAAGATAGTGTCTATATCAACAGCTAGTGTACTGACTACATTTCTATTTTTGTTCAATGAACGAAGCATTTGAATCGGAAAGATAAGTAAGTGTAATAAACATGCTGTGTATTTTGTGTTCATTTAGACCTCATGGTATATTAGAAGACTTCTCGTCTGAACTGTTTTTAGGACGTGAGTTTAAGCCTCTATGAAAGGTATTATTCTACAAGGTAACTTAATCATGTTTCATTAGTATAGAATTAAATTTTCTTTTTTATTCTGTTTTTGGAATAATGTTCCAAATGGTTTCAATTTTTGACAATACTGGTGGGATTTTTAATGAATAATAACATTTTCCAATATGTGATTTTTTATAGTTCATATGCTTGTATGCTTGTCACAACTATAGAGTTTTGAGATTTCTAAATCACAATATTGTTTATTAATGATAACAGATTATAGCTTCAAATGCTAATGGTTTGTCAATGATATCTGGTGAACGCTGTTTCAGTGAATTGAAGAAAATTCTATTATACCCTTCAACTCCATTCCTTTTACGTCGGATGGCAGATGCTGGGTTATTTATTCATTTAGGTCTTCCTGAAAATCCTAACTTTAAAGAATTAGATAAACTCTGGAATAGAGATATACTGTCTTCTGCACCAAACCCAATTACTTGTTTAGCTGCAATTATGACATCGCCTGATGAAGTAAGTTCAGTCATTTTTGAAACAAAGAAATAATTTCATTAGTTATCACAATTCAATTTGTTCACACTTTGGGCTAAACTTCATTACAATTTTGATTCATAGCCGCTCTGTTACAACATCTAAAATAATGGTCGAAAGTATAGTTGGAATCCATTCTAAAATCTCTAGGATTTTGCCAACTTGCATCATCTGTAGTGTAGGTGAGGTGTCGATCTCTCAAGCAAAGCAGCGGTATATTACTCAGTGGTTTACTCTGCTCTATTTCATTGCTGTAAAATACAGTCTTTGATGGTAAAAGATATGCTTAGACCTCAGGTTTTTTATTTAAAGCATTGTTCACGTATCTTGGATCAAATGGCTGAACAATAGCGAGCTCACACTCAGGTTACAAGAGGGTAGATCGGTTGATCATGCTAGGAATCTGCAGCAATTGAGGTAACTGAGATACCTGTCACACATTCCTAACCACCATCTACCTCAATGGGTAATATTGGCTGGAGTAGGAGTAAGTTGGAAGTAAGCTAGTGGCAGTTAAACCAAAATGCTGCATCAGTTCATGAAGTTATTGACAACTGGACTGAATCATGTCGATATATATGGTTGGGGTTTGTGTGGTTACAGGTTGGGAAACATTGGATGATATGGTTTAAAATCGATTTTAGTGGTGCATGTCCATTCAGTTTTTTATTCCAATAGATCTTAAGTTTCAAGATAGTTATATGTGTTTCCTTCCACAAATTTACTCTTCTCTAATCATATTGCCTGTACTTAGTGTTTTTTTTACTACCACTGATACTGTTACTACTTCTACCACTCTGGTATGTTTTTCTTGATAATTTTATCTCGCTGTGTTGATGAGGTGTGGCAACTTAAACCGGTATACCACATGTACCATATTTAACGTTACCTATGATTTACTGGCTAACTCATGACAGCTTTTCTCACCTTCCAAACAATTTTCTTCTCACTGATAAGGATTCCGTTTGTTATATTTTCAGATAGGTTAATATTTTTAATTAAGTAAACCCATCATCTTATATGTAGGTGAGGAGATATTGTCATCTATATTTTGTTTTTATTTACTACCTAATTTGGAGTTATTTAATCCTTTTTGTTTTTTATTATAATTTTCATTAAAATCATAATACTTATGTGTTTGTTTATTTTATTTCATTTTTGTCCCATTTCACTGTTATTTATTTCCAGGTTGAGAACTTAGACAAACGTTTACGTTTATCTAATCTAGATTTAACTATTCTATTGTACATATTATATAAACGCGATTATTGTTTTAATTTATCTAATGAAAATGATAAAAATGAAATGAAATTTTATGAAAAAGAATATTTATTATCATTTGAACCGAGTAAAATAAAACCAGCTATAACTGAATTGTTAAAATATTTAGGCAAAGATAAATTATTCATTGATAAATGGTTATCATGGCAATCACCAAAGTTTCCAGTCAATGGTACATTAGTTATTAATCAATGGGGTTTACGTAATAAATTAATTCGACCAGTTTTATTTAAACTACGGGAACAATGGTGTGAATCAGATTATAAATTATCAAACGATGAATTATTAACCGAAAGTAATAAACAATTTATCTTGGATCATATAAATAATCATTCTGTTGATTGTATACCCGAAAGATTTATAATTAAAGCTAAAAAATCACGAAGATGACAATATTGACTCGTTTATTTTTTTGTAATATGTATATATATTTACATAAATATATATGAAGTGTTACTGTTGTTACTCATGAAAGAGAAAGATTGTGTGTGTTTGTGAGAGAAAAAGGGATTATCAGACTGTTTTCCTGTTACTTAAAATGCAGATAATTCATTGAATATATCGAATATTACTCTGGAATACAAGTATATGTTGACTCAAATTTACTACATCACAGCAACACAACAAGATGCAATGTTAATATTGTTTGACGTTTTTCTCGCTAAACTAGAAAATGGTTCACTCGTTCAGTAGGTTGACAAGTTTTCATTTTAGTGCTGATATATGGACGATACGTTCGTCCTTTGTAACGACCATACTGACCTGATTGAAATACTCGAGCGACTTAAGGAAGTCCATCCGTCTATAAAATTCACATTTAAGGACGGAAATAGAGATAGAATATTCTTTCCAGATGTTCTGCTTACAAGGGGAATGGACGAGTCATTAAGAAACTTAAAGAAAACTACTTGGACTGGCCTATATGAAAATTTTCCTAGTTTTGTTCCTCTACAATATAAAACGAACCTGATTAAGACATTTCACTATAGACCAAGACCATATGCTTCCTAGATGCAATTAAAAAGGAAACGAAGGCATTGCGTACTAACCTGAAAGAGGATAAATGTCCGGAGAAATTTATAAATAAACATTTAGCCAAGAAAAGAGAGCATAAGGAAGGCCTAACTGTGGTCAGAAAGCCTCTGTATATGCGTTTACAATTAAGAGGTGGTGCAACCGGCGAAATGCTAATACTAAAGTTACTCAGAGCAATCCCAAGAACTTTTAATGCAGGTATTATACAACTAATGTTTTATACACATCCGACGATCACTCCCAGATTGGAAGAGAAATTATCTAGACTAGCCACTTTTTTCTGTATCTATCAATTCAACTGCTGTTGTAGAGCAAGTTATAGGGACAAGTGTTATAGGAATTTGTATTTTCGAGCTTGCGAGCACCTCTCAATATGGTTAAGCAAAGGTATAGTTAAAACTGTTAACAGTTCGATTTTAGCTAAATCAAAACCGATACAGTTATACAATGGTTCAGTAAACATAGGAAATTGGATTTAACTGTTATAAGTACTAGGAATTTGCAATTACAGTGATTGATAAACTGAATATTACAAATTTATGTAAATATTTTTAAATGCTACACTGTATTCTGAAATGAGAAATGAAATTGGTTACTGAGCAATATTAAGTAGTATAATTATAATACTAAATGTAATCGAATCAGAGAGAAATGAGGATTGGTGGTAACAGAAACAGCAATATAATCGTCTAAATCTTTGTTCGGTTCCTGTTTCATGTGGTTCAAGAACAATGTGGTCATTCAGATAGTAAATCTCAACAGATATATCGAAACTGTACGTGTATAAAAGTCAATAATTAGTCACCAAAGTAATTATAAATGGCATACTTATTGTGCGAACGACAATGTAACCTTAAACTAGTTCGGACAAGAACAAGTCTGCGTGGATTTGAGGCCGCAACATAACACACCGACTGGAACTGTAAAGAATATTGATTTGATCAAAATGACACCGCTATTAATACATATTTTGAATTCCATTGTTTGGAACTTAGTTCGAACGTTTTAAAATTTAATACAAAACGTGAAAAAATATTTCTTAAACGTAATCGTTTTCTAAAGGTATGTTTTTTATTAGTTTAATCTTTTTTTAATGTTACAAACTAGGGTGATATCAGATAGTCTTTAATAATATCATAATTCCTTCTACTACAAATTATTCAATCCTAGATGACGTGGCTGAATTTTCCAACTAGTATTAAACTTGTTTTGAGAGCCTGTAGTGCTATGTTAAGTCCACAAAGCTTATTTTAGCTTCCGGACAGACCAGTCTATTCATTCTCCTTGAGTCACACATTGACCCTGTTAATTATTCGCTTATCAACTTTGACTGTTTTATGTAAGCATATATGTGTGTACATTTCTTATCTTACCACATGTCCGTAACTTATTTTTGTATGACTAGAAGTATCAACTCACGCTTGATTAAATTGAGTTGGCTCACTCTCCTTCTCTACTGTGTGCCGTTTTGCTTCGCTCTCTTCTCGCCTCGTCCCTCTGATTGCTTATCCAGATCAATATGTGTACAAAATATATGTATTCAAAAATCCATTCTCGTATTTGATTTATTTAATTCCGTTATTCATTAACTCGAGTTAAGTTGATTATTATATACGAGAATCGTCAGGATGTATATTTCGACAGCAATCGTTCGATAAATGTTATTTTTCCGATCTTACTGGAGTCAGATATCGGGCCACAAAAGGCCCGACGTGTTGTTGAAGAGCGGGTAAACGAATCTGTAATCGGTGGTTTGTATCGAAAATTTTCCCTCAAAGTTTAATAAGGGATAAACACACTTATTTCATTTAGCTACTACGGTGTATACATCATTCTCTTTTCCAGTGAATGATTTATGGAGCACTGCATATACTTAATTACTTTGGTGCGTTTAAATTCATTGGGTCGAATATTCTAAGCACGAAGCTTTAATCGCCTTTTAGGTCTATATCATTGGTAATTCAAAAAAGGAATGAACTACTAGAACTACGTTACACGTGGTTAACACATTGAATCTGATTGTATGTTACGGAGTTCGAGGAGTTTATCTTAACTGGAACTATCTTTTAAGCTGCAAATTTCTACTGTCTCAAAAGTCCATTTATGTATATAATTGTGTATAATAAAAGTAATTCATTTGATATTCATACAAACTACTTATAACTGTTGACAATAGATATTCTCTTCGTATTAATTTATGTAAATAAAAATATTATTCAATCAAATTTTCCAAAAACTGAGTGAGTTAAATTAATCTTTTATCCATAAGATAAAACCTGAAAGTCAAAGAAAGATTACTTCGATTAGTTTAACGATGAATATTAATAAGTATTTCTCCATTAACTTTCGTTTATCATTTAGGCAGACTGAAAAGTAAAGTCACTATTTTGTTATAGCATATCAATACTACATTTTATGACAAAAATAGTATACAGCTTAATAAAAGCTGTCAATATAGTCCGAAGTACTCTTGATAAATATTAATCTTGGGTTCTATTCCCGCGTGCACAGCTGTGAATGCGTACCGCTAAGGAGTTTAATACTAAGACAAAACGCCCATCTACTGCTTCTAGGTTTTCAATAGTGCTCCAAATTAGTTCGTTTCATGATTTCAGTTAGTCAATCTTGACTTATAACTACTTGTGACGTATAATTATGTTAGCATATTTCATTATCATGCTTCTATTTTAATGTCGGCCATTATGTCAAGCCCATATACCTTATTCTAACTTTCGGACAGCCCAATCCATTCATTCTACTCGAGTCACATTTTGACCTTGTTAATTATCCGCTTAAATAAGAAAGATTAGTTCAGCGAAGAGTTCTTTTTTCGACGAATTCATTTTCAAAGCCACCGAAGTCGGTGTTTCAAGATGGTGACACCAATTGCATTATCGTCTCTGTGCCCGAACACACGACGCCGAACCTCTGCATCACTAACATGGTGTTGCCAGTGGATGTTAGCAATCCTTCGGAGACAACAATGATCGAACACAGAGAGTCGTCTAACATCCTCAACTCGGAGAGGCCAGGTTTCACAAGCATAGAGCAAAACTGCTCTCACTGACGCGTTGTAGATCCGACCTTTTACAGCCAGACTAACATCACGAAGGCGCCAAAGATGGCCCAGATTGGCATAAGCCGCTCTGGCCTTCACTATACGTGCATTGATCTCATCACTCACGCCACCACCAGCACTTATGCAGCTACCTAGATAAACAAACTTCTCTACTACTTCTATCTGCTCACCATCCAGAGTGAGTACAGGATTAGAATCCTGTCAGTCTTGTAGAAGTACTTTGCACTTCGAGGGTGCAAAGCACATACCATACCTACGGACATTGATTGCCAACTGATTAAGTGCGGATTGCATAGCTTGGGCATTATCACACAGTAAGACAATATCACCCGCATACTCAAGATCGAGAAGTCTTTCTCCAGGCAACAGATCCACACCACCATTACTTACATCCATCAGAGCTGTTTCCAGAATGTCATCGATGGCAAAGTTGAAGAGGAATGGTGTGATTGTTCAACCCTGCCTAACTCCACTGCTTGAATGGAACAATGGAGAAAGGTGGTTGTATGCCCTCACTCTGCCTGAGGTGTTTGTGTATAGGGCTTTTAGGATGTTAATAAACTTCTCAGGCATACCCTTCTTCAATAGACAATCCCAGAGAACAGTTCTGTCCAACGAATCGAAGGCAGCCCTGATATCAAGAAACACTACGATTGTTGGCCTTTGATAAGTATGGCGGTGTTCTAACATTTGGCGGAGGGTGAAGATATGATCAACACATCCTCGACCGGAACGAAACCCAGCCTGCTCCTCGCGAGTCAATCTTTCTCGGGTTTTGAACAACCTACGAAGTATAACGGAAGCCGATAGCTTGGACGGAATCAGAAGTAGACTTATCCCCCGATAGTTGTTACAGGAACGACGTGAACCCTTTTTAAATATAGGGACAACTATTGACTCATTCTATGACTTTGGTACACTCTCTAGTTCCCAGATCTTTGTAAACAACGTCGTCAGTCCCTTAGTCGGAAAGTCACCACCATCTTTAAAAAGAGCTGGAGGTAAGTCATTTGGGTCTGGTGATTTGTAGCGCTTCAAGAGTTGGAGTTCCTTGTGGACTTCCGCCTCATTTGGTGGATCAGTCGTCACCAGCCATGGAGGGCAGGACAGTCTGACCGATGTTGCCGGAGCAGCAGGCCAGTTGAACTGCCCTTCGAATAATTCGGATCATCGTCCAAGACGTCGATGGATATTAGTGATTGGCACTTCGTCATCCTCGCAGATTGTTTCGCTCACACCAGACTTCTTGCTGCCAGTGGCTCGGATGAGTTGGAAGAGCTTCCGGTAATTACCAGATGCAGCTGCTGCTTCCAACTCACTGGCACGCTCCGACCACCAGGCTTCTCGGTCCTTACGCAAGCTTTG